TATTGATTTTTTTTTTTGGAATGTTAAAAGGAATAAATATATTTTAATGTTATTTTTTTAAAGGCCAGATTCCCTTTTTTTAAATGTAAAAACATTGATGTTCTTAATTCTGTACTGACCTACTACAGAAGGCCCTGTATTATTATTGATTTAAATGAGAATGAAAAAGACATTTAATCCTTTTTTTAATTTTAGCTTGTTGATCTTCATTTTAGCCTGTAGATTTTATATGTACAGGCTAAAATTAGCCTGTGGATAAAAAAGTTAATTTCATCCCTGTTATTTCGGATTGACTTTAAATTTTACATTTTGACTTACAAAAATAATAATTATGATGATAAACATGTTTGAAAACAAGAGATGTTTGTAAAACACTTATGCCCCCCTCACCCCAAATTGGATTTTTTCTAAGTCCAAAAGGGCATAACTCTGTCTAAAAGGGTGCGATCCTACCCAAAACAGAACTTGACCTAGATATTCAGCTGAAAAACATGTATACTAAATTTCATTTCAATATGTGCAACCTCTGCAAAGAAAATGAACGGAAACTGCGAATAAGTGGAATTTTCCTAAGTCATAAATAAGGGGCATAACTCTGTCAAAAATGGTGCGATCATACCCAAAACAAACCTTGACTTAGATATTCACCTGATAAACCTGTATACCAAATTTCATTTGAATATGTGCAACGGTTGTGAAGAAAATGAACGGAAACGGCAAATAAGTAGAATTATTCTAAGTCCAAGGGGCATAACTCTGTCAAAAATGGTGCGATCATACCCAAAACAGAACTTGACTTAGATATTCACCTGATAAACCTGTATACCAAATTTCATTTAAGTACATGCAACGGTTGTGAAGAAAATGAAGGGAAAACTAAATGGACCGACAGACAGCAGCAAAGCAATATGCCCTCCCTTCTTCGAAGGCGGGCATAATAAAGTTAGCAATTATCAGATATGGTGTGTGTAAATTATAATTGTTTTTCTTGTTCCTATTGAGTAATATGTAAAATTTACTGAAGCCCTGCAGGGCAAGTATAAAGACACATTTAGTAGCCCAACCTCAATATTCAGTTGTCTCGGGCCAGCGGGCTAGCGTTAGTGTCAAACCCTGTTGTAAATTTAGGTCAACTTTGAAGTGACCTTGAGACCACGCCCTTTGCCCCAGGGTAATTCCCCGTGCAAATTTTAATCTTCGACATATCCTGATCCTTGTATGTAAGTTGGTGAAAATCTGCCTGGTGGTTATGGAGAAGAAGATTTTTTAGCAACCAGTACTTTTGGTTTTGTTTTCCCTGATTATCTCCCCTTGTTTAAGGGTCCCAACCCTTATTTTAGTATAAATGGTAGCCCTTGGGCCAAGGATACCCTGTAACAAATTTGGTACTGGATTGGTCAAGGGGTTCTTGAGTTATGGCCCATATTCTAAAAGTTTACGCACCCCGCACAAATGGCCATGGCATTAGTTCTTTGAGCCTTTGGCTCAGAAGAGCTAAAAATTCAAAGCATGAGAGATAGAGTCTAAAACCAACTACACCCTGATAAAGCAGCCTCACCCCTCCAGGTCCACGGTTTCTCCATCCTCTAACTTCGCTTTCTTCACCTCCTTCTCCTGGTCAGGGGACAGCAACACCCCCATCATCAGCCATAGACTTTCTCTTCCCGGGGCTTCAACAAGATAAAAATTTTGGTCATTATTTCCTATTTCCTCTACACTGTTCACTTCTGTGATTCAAACATCAGCACCAGTAAGCAGAATACTAAAATAAAACCCTCCCGTTCTAGAAAACATGGCAGTTATTGATGGCTGGTTTGATGTTTTCTTTGACTTTTTGTTTCTCTTTGACTTGGCTGGTGTACCTAGGAAAGGGAATTAACTCGTAACTAACCAATGAATAAAGTTTTTTTTCCTGGAGGGATAATTTTTTTTCTAGAGAGAGAGGAAAAAAAATCAAACAAAGCAAAGTGAAAATTAAAACAGGACTTACTTTTACTCTCTTCAACCTCCATCTCTTCCTGCAAACCAATTAAATTACAAGAGAATGAATTCATAATGGGAGCAATTTCACATTATCGTAAAATATTTCACTACTTAAACAATCACCTCATTTCTCTCACTGTCATCTTCAGCCTGTGAATCTTCTTCTTTTGATGAGTCTCCATTTTTGGTTTCTGTTTTGGGCTCATCTGCAGGCTTGCTATTAGTTCCAGGCTTAGTATCAGGTTTGGACTCCAGCTTGGTCTCTGAGTCTTCCTCTGAAGCTTTGTCCCCGTTCCCCTGGTTACTTTGATCCCCGTTCTGCTGTTTACTTTGATCCCCGTTCTGCTGTTTACTTTGATCCCCGCTCCTTCCTGTTTATTTTGATCCCCATTCCTGTGGTCTCCATTCTCACAGTCCATCAGGCCGTTCCCCGTTTTCTTGCTGGATCCTCCCGTCTCTATCATCACCCCATTCTCACTGTCGTACACTTTATCAAACACCTTCTTTGAGATTCTTGAAAAATCCCTTCTGCAGTGGTAAAAAATAATTAAAATAATATAGACTAAGAAGTAGGAAATCTAGTCATTGACAAAATAAGACAAAGAGGACTTGGTAATTTCTTCCAGATGAAGAATGTCTTATTCAACCACACACACTCAAACTCCTAAGCAGAGATACGACAATAAATTTTTTGATTCAGAAAAATTAACATGGTTCTACAGAATGATTACAAATAGTATTCCAGTCCTTTCTCTCCAAGTCCTCTATGAAGTAAAGTGACCTGCAGTTCAGACACCCTGCTAAGCTCCCCCAAGATGTTTTCTCATACTATTCTATTTACCTAAACCAACCAGTTCATCAGTTACCCCAGCCCTTTCTAAGAAATTCTGCAAAAAAAAAAAATTCTTTTGAACAGTGAACCCCTGCATATTTTTTTTCTAAGGTTTTCTCTAACAATTATACTTCATGCTCTCCCTTTCTCGGGAACTCAGATGAGGTGTCATTCCTTTTTTGTGACAAATTGGTTAATTGTCAACTTGCTCTCTGACCTCTGTAATGATGTTCTCTTTCAGTCCTTTTTCCAGTCCTGTAATAATTTTGCTGACATCCTCAGGCAGATAGCCATCAAATAACTTGCATTTCTTTTTCCAATATCCCTGAAATATCAGAGGTAAGTTGTCAGTATGTGACTTAATATCCCATTTTATTAAAATGTGCATGCAGTCTACGTCTTTAAGCAAATTTAATAATACTTTTTATAAAGTTGTCATTAAACTTCATCCAAAGAATCCTTTTAAGTTTCCAAGATGATGAATCACATTTAATGAAAATATATTCTGTTTGTTTACCTTTTCTGTAAGATCACCATCTTGGAATTCTTCCTCCAGCTCTTTCAACCTGGAAAAAATATATAATTGCAATGACAAATGCCTATAATGTAAAATAAAGCGCAAATCTGACAGTGTCTTACTTTTCCACGATTTCTGTCGTGATCGGGGGTATCGTTTTCCCAGGCATCGTCTTTCTTGCTACAAGACCTCCGACAATGAGATGTTCCCGCTAAAATTTGGACTAACCTGTAAGAGGGGTGTTAGATTTTATTGAGTGAAGATAATTAGGCACATTACCTATTGCTGAGATTAAAACAAAATGCTCGACTAAACGTTCAATTTCCGTACAGGATAGAAAATAATATTCATTTTTTAAACTGAGTTACAGTCATTTAGTGATGAAATTTTAACCTAATTGGACCCTTCTCAAAATGGATTTTACCGGAAGTTAGGGACGTAAACAAGCAGAGGGAATGTCTGAGCGCCAAGTTTAACGAACAGCAAAAGTCATGTAAAGATCATAATATGTCTTAAATGAGTGAAAAGCATATAGGTAAGAAATAAGGTTTAAAGGTTGAAAAAATATTTAATCTTTTCTTGGAAACTTTATTTAGATCTCTTTTATTTAATTAAAAAATTATGTGGTCAGCAAGCGTTCAATATCGAGCCCGATCTTATTTTCTTTCATGGTCTTACTAAAACTAAAAGATATCGTATTGCTTAAGTTTTTGGACAATGATGGCAGATACACAGGAATTCATATTCATGCAAATAGGAAGTACAATTTATATTATGAAACGTGTACAAAGAAAAAAGTTCCTTACCCGGTACCATATGGAGCACTGACCAAAAATCAAGGCGCCTGGTACGGCCTACATATTATGACGGATAGGTATCTACCAATTTATTTTACTTGATTAATGAACCAGTTTCATGGTACGTGATGTAAGAATTGCACATTTTAGATTAGCCATAGTGTAGGTTGAAGTAAATGAAACGATGTAAATAATAGTTTTTTCATCATATGTTCATTGTAGAAATCATAGCTGTGGGGATCCGGGTTAGAATAGGTCCTCAGTACCCCCTTGCTTGTCGGGAAAGGCTACTAAATGGGGGTCCTTTGGATGAGACCATATAACAGGTAGGGCACACACCGCCAAATGGTCATTTAACCCCCATTTGGTGGTCTATCGCCCATATCGTCGTCTTTATTACCTACCAAATGGGAGAGAAAATTGTTTTGTTCAGTTCTCTGGAATGACGTGTAATGGCGCATAATTTCAACTCACGGGGAATAAAATATAGATATTTTTCTAAATTTGAACGAAAAAAATCAGAATTTCAACGTGGACTTTTTTGTGCTGTGTCATTCAAATATTGGACAAAATCGTCACCTATGTATACAAGTGTAACGATTCCGGTGTTTTAACTTAAAAAGAAAAACTCCCTCCATCTTGCGCGTAGTTGCACCGCAGGGCTCTCGATTCTCTAAATCTGGGGCCGATATTCGGCCCCATTCCCAATGCAGACAAGGTACCTTTTTTCCCAAAAGAAAGGTGTAAATTTCCCAATTTCCATAGCAAAATATTAAAAAGTAAAAGTCCATGAAACTTAATCGCATAAAAACCCAAAACAAAACACACTTGCAAATGAAAGTGAAACAAAACAAGTTTTATGTATGATTATTAATTAGTTCGCACCAAATGCATTCGTAAACTGGTTCGTTGAACCAGGTTATTGTTTTTATAAAAATGTGTAACTATAAGTGCAGAGTATCTTGTCATGAAAATCGACAAAAACATCATTTTGGTTTCAAAAATAGACATTTCATTTAAACATTAGTAAGCTTCACTTAGAAACATACCCACACTTCGGCATGTTCAGTCTCGAGCTCAATTGGTAAGCAGCGATGTCCATGTGATCGAGGAAGTTTGGGACTATGTAATTAGTGACTGTCACTCAGAAAGACAAATTACCGCAGTTATCAACACTTAAAGATAGTTATGACAAAGCTAATGTAATTTCAAAAATAGCCTACATACCCATGTTTGTTCTGTTTAACTGTTTATTCAAAACCAGAGTTAAATTGATGACAAAATTCTAGAAAAGCAAAATTTGAGGATTTTTTTTTAATGAATGTTGGTCATCCTAATTTCCCCAAAATGACGATAGTTTTCCCAATTTGAACGGCCCTGGCTCCAGTCCCAAAAAGTGGTGTGAGCCCTGGCACCTATCAATCGTGTTTATCACTTCATATTTTTGTCAATTATGATCAAAACCAATTAAAATGACGATCTTCTCCGAACTTGGGTCAAAAGACTGATTTAACTACGAGAGACCGATTAGTGTTAATTTTTAAAATGTAAATAAAGAGGAGGGGTAAGAATTCGCTTTATTTCATTTATTTCGTATGCAATGGCTTTATTCTTTTTGGAAATAAGTATGCAGTGAATTCATGATAAATAATCGTTTGAAAACAATAATCTTGGAATAAAAACAAGAATAATTGCAACTGTCACTTTGTAAATCTTTCATTCAAAAATATAAATATAGTAATACATCATAGATATGCATACTAAACCGCAAAGGGTCGCACAGAAATCGTAACTTCATCCTAAAAGAAAATAAAGAATAAATGTTACATTTGAATGTAGAAAAAATGAATATTATAGCAATAAGTGCCCACCATACGAATAAGGTACGAGGAGCTCGTGTTTAACGGGATTTTATAGAGATATATATATTGATACGCAGATCGAAAGATCGTTTTGAAAAGTTAATTTTCTGAATAACACCTATTGTCTAAATATATTTTTACCAAACTATACACAACAAAATAATTTTTTGTATTGTTTGAGCAAATAGTTCGGCCGTCACGAACAGCTGTGGCAGTGGCGGATTTAAAAGGGGGGGACCGCGCACGCCCCCCCCCCCCCTAAAATTGTCAAATTTGAAAGTTAGCATAAATCACAGTTTCGTCAAGAAAATGTAAATATGTCTACTTGGTAGACCTTTTTTACCGTACAAAATCTCCAGAATCCAGACCCCCAGACCCCCTGCCTATTTTTTGCGCCCCCTCTAACTTAAATTCCTGGATCCGCGCCAGTGTGGGTTTCGTTTTTACGAAGTTCCAAAAAATTACACATGGAAAATTGACTAAATTGTATTAAATGTGTGAGGAATTTGTTAATTAAAATTCGAATGTCTAATAAATGCACTTTTGCTTTATTTTAATAAAAATTGGATTTGAATAAAAAAGACCACCATTTGATGGGTAAAAAAAGATGCCGATATGGGCGATTCACCACCAAACGGGGGTTAAATGACCATTTGTCAGTGTGTGCCCAACCTGTATAAACAGAGGCCCCGTGTCACAGCAGGTGTGGCACGATAAAGATCCCTCCCTGCTCAAAGGCTGTAAGTGCCGAGCATAAATTTGCAGCCCTTCACCGGCAATGGTGACGTCTCCATCGGTGAAATATTCTGGAGAGGGACGTTAAACAATAGGACAATAGCTGCAGATCTGTAGCTTGTTGGTCTGAAAAAATTAGGATGGGCAACCAGAAGAGCCTCAGCTACAGTGCCACCCATAGAAAAATCTGTATATTTATTGCGGAAAAAAAGTTCTGCTCGGCTTTTGTACTATTTATCCCTACTTAATCCCTACTGCAAAAAAAGATAAAGTTAAAAAAGAAATCCTTAATCCTCTATGAAATACTATGAAATGAGTGGAGATGCACACTAATTACAAAAAACCTTTGGTGTATGATATGCCTAAGAGATAGAATTTGAGTTGACATTCTTTTTCTTTGATTACCTGTGTGTTTCTTTTTAGACTTGACATGTCACAGTCCCAGTCCAGCTTCCTGGAGACGGTGGTCAGCTGGGATGGTACCCAGTGTCAGGTCAACCTGGACACAGCCCTCCCACGGCTCATCGTATCCTACTCAGAACTAGATATTAATGAGGCAGAGTCTCATTATTTCTACCCTAGATATTTTAATAAATTTTCTTGAATTAATTCTCTCTGTTATATTGTATTCTACTCCTAATTTTAATTTATTTACAACAATGTTATAAATGCTCAGAAAGCATCATATATCTCAAACAACAAGATGATAAAAATGTTTTGACTCACATACATCAAGAATGAATACTTCGGAAGTCATTTTACTATATTAAAAGTGTGAATTTCCTATACTTTATTATCAGAGATGTTTTCAAGAGGTGAATGTTGTACAGGAGCAGATTGGTAAGAGAAGATGCTTAATAATATAGTGGTTAATAAGAACCTGGCTGTAACATGTACCGTTTTATATTAAATGTTTAGCATATTTTCATAAAATGATTCCTTTTCAGGAATTCTTAAAATCATATGCCATTCCTTCTTGCCATGTGTTGAAGCAATTCAAGCCGAGGAAAAACTTTTTAGCAAACTTATTGACGAAGGTAACTACCTGTATGTTTCAGTGATTTGATTCATAGTTGTAGCAATTTTGATTCAACAGTTAAGAAGATAGTGACAAGGGACTGGTTGCACTGTGCTGTCCCTGAATTCAGATTACCTTATATTTCACATATATACATATGTCCTTATTTATAACTCATTTACTTTTGTAATGAGGAGAAATTAAGGAGAAGATAAACTTTTGACAGGTGTGTGTGTGTTTGACAAAGCTCTGGATGAAATACATCAGTACACACAAAATACAGACAAGAAATCCAGTATCCCTGAGATCAACACAAACCTACAGGTAAAAAAAAAATTCCAACTCTCCTGCATCTTCAAAATTAGGCCAACAATAAAAAAATGATTTGTTTATGTCCAGTGTCGCTGACTGACCCATCAAAAATCACCCCTACCGAACCATTTTAAAAATTTTTTCAGAAATTAAATTTATTTTTAGCTCTTCTGAGCCAAAGACTCAAAGAGCTAATGCTATGGCCATTTGTGCGGTGTGCGGCGTGCGGTGTGCGTTAACTTTTTAGAATATGGGCCATAACTCAAGAACCCCTTGGCCAATTATTGTCAAATTTGTCACAGGGTATCCTTGGCCCAAGGACTACCATTTATACTAAAATTAGGGGTGGGACCCTAAAACAAGGGGAGATAATCACGAAAATAAAACTAAAAGTACTGGTTGCTAAAAAATCTTCTTCTCCAGAACCACCAGGCAGATTTTCACCAAACTTACATACAAGGGTCAAGATATGTTGAAGATTAAAAATTGTTCAAGGCATGACCCTGGGGCAAAGGGCGTGGTCTCAAGGTCACTTCAAAGTTGACCAAAATTTACACTTATTAAAAATGTTGATATTTTGCTGCTATAAAGACTAGGATCATCAAATCTTGTAAGTTGATGCATCTCAGGACTTGACATCATGTTAATACAAAAGAAGGTCACGGTGACCTACTTTTTAAATTTTACGGGCTTTTGTTTTCAAATTGATTTGGAGGCATATTTTGGACACTTTAAGGCCTATGATCATAAAACTTTGTCAGTGTGTGCATCTTGGGTCCTCAAACAACATCAACTTAAAAGTAGGTCATCGTGACCTACTTTTTGAATTTTATGGCTAATGTTTTCTAAAACTTTTAATCCCATTATTTCAGACACCAAGAGGTTTAGAATCACCAAATCTTGTAAGTTGATACATCTAGAGGCCTTAAAACATATTTATCAAAAAGTAGGTCACTGTGACCTACTTTTTAAACTATGCAGGCATTTGTTTTCAAATTGTTTAAAAGGCATATTTTGAATACTATTAGACCTATGATCATCAAATTTTGTCAGTTGATGCATCTTTGGTCTTCAGAAAATGTCGACCAAAAAGTAGGTCACTGTGACCTACGTTGGACTTTTTATGGCTAGATTTAAGTATCTCGGGTACTAATTGGCTTAGAATTATTAAAATTTGTCAGTTGATGCATCATGGGTTTTGGGAGATTATTTAAATGACCAAAAAGTAGGTCACAGTGACCTACTTTTGACATTTTATGGCTATATTTTAGTATCTCAGGTACTTATTGTCCCCCGCTTTCGCGAAAGCGAGGGGACATTAAATCTCATTCGTCTGTCAGTCAGTCTGTCTGTCCGTCACTAAAACTTTAACCTTGCTCATAACTTTTGATTTAGTGAAGCTATGACTTTCATATTTCACATGTGTATTCCTTGTGACAAGACCTTTCTTTGGGTACCACTTAATTTGACCTTTTGACCTTGACCTTGGAGTTTGACCTACTTTTACACAAAAATTCCAAACTCTGGCCATAACTTTTGAACGGTAGATACTAGGACTTTCATACTTCATATATGTATTTTTGTGGCAAGACCTTTCATTGGATACCAACAACTTTGACCTTGGAGATTTCCGTACTTCTAAAAAGACTTTGACCTTGGCCATAACCTGTGAAAGGTAAGGGTAATGGCGTTTTTACTTCACATATGTAATCATTGTGAGAAGAAGTTTAATTCATACTATACCAAGAATCTTGACCCTTTGACCTTGACCTTCGAGTTTGACCTGCTTTTTAAAAACTTTAAACTTGGCCATAACTTTTGAACAGTTCAGACAAGGGCTTTCATACTTCACGTATGTAATACTTGTGGCAAGACCTTTCTTCAGAAACTACCAATACATTTAATCTATTTTGTCATACGGGGTCATGAGGTTCACTTCCATATAACTTTTGATTGAAGAGAGAAAGGGCTTTCATATCTGACATGTGCATTATTTTGACAAGATTTGACACAACATGTCATAAAAAATGACATCCCACCCGCAAAGACACCGAAAGCGGGGGACCACAATTTTTTGAATTTGCTTGTTGGCTTAGATTCATAGAACTTTATCATTGGATGCATCTGGGGTTTTAGGAAGCTGGACCAAAAAGTAGGTCACAGTGACCTATTTATGACATTTAATGGCTAGTTTTATGTATCTCAGGTACTAATTGGTTTAGAATCATCAAATTTTGTCATTTGATGCATTTGGCAAGTTTGTCGACATGTGACCAAAAAGTAGATCACGGTGACCCACTTTTGAAAATCTCAGGTACTGATTGGCTTAGAATCATCAAACTTTCTGGTGAATCTATCTTGGGTTTTCGGAGAATGTCGACCAAAAAGTAGGGCACAGTGACCTCTTTGTCATTTTATGGCTATATTTAGGTATTTCGGGTACTTATTGGTTCAAAATCATCAAACTTTGTTATTTGATGCATCTTGGGTTACAGGAGAATGACTGGCTAAGAATCATTAAACTTTGTCAGTTGATGCATCTTGGGTCTTAGGATAGATTGTATAATTTATCAGAAGAGCGATTCTAGGCCCTTGGGCCTCTTGTTGGTTTCATTTTAGAGGTTTATAATTTCTCGGATATCCCATTTGATTGAAGGTTTTTACAGCGATTTTAAATTTAAATCTGTCTTGACCAGCTTCTGTTAACCCAGGTAGTTAATGCTATCGAAGCAAGTCCTTTCCCAAATATCAATAAGCTCTATCTGTGGTGATGCATCTAGAGATGCACACTGTTATAATTGCTTTATAAGCTGCATTTGACCTACATCTGGATATTCTAGATGCTCGAATAGGTTGAAGTTTTTGGCAAGTCATACCATAAGTATGCACATTGCACAATACCTCACCTGCTTCAGATGCTGCAACTTACCAACAGTTTCCAGGAGATTGAACTGTTCAATTTCTAGAGCTGATCTTTTCTGAAGTAAAGTCTGAGTCACATCCAAACTATATTTGCATGTTGCATCTAGGAATATATACTACTTGAACAGTCATTTGCTGTGAGACACTGCATTTTAAATAACATTCGTTAGTGGCATAACCATTGATTACCTGTGATTTTAGGTTTTATTGGACCTGCTGGAGTTT